GTGCTATGGGGTACGAGTTGTTTGGGTTCACACTCAGGATGGGATGGAGAAAGGAAACTCACAATGTGCTCTCTGTATACATATTGTATTGGATGTACAATGCAGCTTGGTGCTGGGAAGTGGCAGTGTGGTTACAAGCGTGATGTAGAGAGAGCTGGTTGGTGAGGGTGCTCAGAGGAGGACAAGCTTGTGGGTCGCCATGCTCGCCGGCGGGAGCGAGGGCCGCCAGGCAGCGGCTGAGGAGGTGGTGTTGCTTGCTGCGGCTGTAGCTAGAAGAAGAGAGAGGTCACCACGAGGTCAGGTCTTTTATAGCGGAGGTAGGCGTGGGTAGATAGTTGACCTCCGCTCCGTGGGCGGCGCTGGTTGATCTAGACCACGAGGCATACACTGGGGAATTCGCGGGGTCGGCTACTCAGCGACAAACAGCTTTTGTAGGGGCGAAATCCACTACAGTGCCATAGTTCCTGCTTGATTCTTTTTTTGGGTGTTGACTCTGGCGGCTTGTTCTGTTATTGTGGTGGTTTCATCTTCGCTTGCATCTTCCATCGATTCTTCCTTGCTTGCTGGCTCAGGTTGTATGCCTGAGGTAGTCTGTTCTTGAGTTGATGGTTCGTGAGTTGATGGTACTTGAGTTGCAATGGTCTCTGATTTGTAAATTAAATTGAAAATTTCAGTAGAAGGCACATCGTTTGGGAATTCCATGTCTGGCAGGTTGTTGGCGGCGAACATGTCCCTTGCTGCCTTGGCAAAAGTTCCAGGTCTGGCTATATTCATGATGTGGGCGTGGATTATGGAGGTCATTATTTTTACGGAAAGATTATTTCCAAACTGAAGCAAAATAGGTTGCTTTGCGGGGGGTAGTGTGGCGACTTTTTCGAGGATCTTTGTCGAGAAAACTCTGGTTTGTTTTGTCACAGCTGAATATGTCCTGTTTTGCTGTTCCTGCATCTTCTCCCTCTCCTTCTCCTTCTTTTGGTTGACTATTGCTTTTCGTATGGGGCAGAGAGTAGCCAATGTTCTATGATCTCCTTCGCAGTTTAGGCATTTGGGGGTATCTTTGTTTTTGCACTCTCTAAAGGTGTGCCCCTTATTCCCGCATTCTGAGCAGTGCTTGGTGTCCTTGTTAGGGCAATCTGTAGCCATGTGTGAATATTGGTAACAATTCCAGCATGGAATGATGGGGAAGAATTCCTCCTGCTCCACCTGGCTGCTGCTGACATGGTAGTAGTATAAGGGCCTGCGCTGCCACCATTTTATAAGGGCCTGTATGTCAGTAACAATTCCTTTTACTCTCATACTTATTACCAATGGTAGCGTGACGAGAGGAGGCTCGTGGGTAGATGTAATGATAGTATCAAGCAATAGGGAAGAAATAACGGTAGATACTGTAGGTAAATAATAGACACAATATACAAATACAAAATTTATTTAAACATTAATATGGAAGTAGGAGAAAGAATATATATGTACCAACAGACGAAATCTGGTACTATGCCCTCAGGCTCAACATCCTCACACCACTACTGGGTGGACATACTCAATATCACTCACACCACTACTGGGTAGACATACTCAATAACACATAACTCTTATAGTCACTTAGCACCATAAAGATCAGGGACAACTGCCACTACAACACTCAGTCGTCAGGAGTGATACTCAAGCATCCACCATGGGGTACTTTCCGACGAACTCTGAAGATCCCAGTGGATTAACCCCCGCCACACAAATAGCCCTACTGAGTTAGACACTCATCCACTAATGATGGGGGCTGGTAGTGGTGTGTGGCTTGGTGAACCGGGGTCACCTCGCAGGCCGAGCGTTAGGGCCAGACGAGCCAGCTATGGGGGCCATAGGTAGTCTGAAGTGTCTGACGGTCGGGTCTCACGAAGGTAACTGGTTCCTACTGGACCTCGGACATCTCCCCAGACATAGTGGATACAACATCCACACTACAGACACAGCCTAGGCTGCGTTAGGGACCTGTATGGGTGAAGGGGCGAGCACTTACTAACAGTGACAACGACATCACATTTCAGGGGACGTTAAAGACGTAAATATGACTTCACTCAGAGCATGTCAACTACGTTACTGTAACACTTGCACAATCAACTATTAATTGGGTCAAATCACTTAAAGAAGGGCGCATTACAACACAGAGTGGAATGGCCTACTATTAATTGGGTCAAATCACTTAAAGAAGGGCGCATTACAACACAGAGTGGAATGGCCTACCTGTATGGGTGAAGGGGCGAGCACTTACTAACCGTTGAAATGCCCAAGGCACCCTTACTCAGAATAGGTCAGGAGTCCACCTACTTCTCTTTCGATGAATTAATTTACTGTACACTCTGACGTTGAAACTGAGACTATGAACTCAGTTTCATTCCCTACTATTATCCTCACTAACAATGCTCTGACTGAGCTATCAAAAGCAAAATTAAATTGATTACAAAGGGTTGGATGGCAACAGGTCCCAACATACAGTGTCTTGCAACGAAATCTGTGGATTATATTCAAAGTTCCCTTTAGACAAAGACGGCCTATCGATGACGTCATCAAGGAAACAGAGAAAACGGGGGACGTTTCCACTGGGGGACTCGGAAGGTTTTGTGAACGTTTGAGAGTAATATGAATCCTTAAGGTTTTCAGGTTAGCCGTCATCACGATCATGACAGTACAATGCAGCTTGGTGCTGGGGAGGCAGTGTGGGTACAAGCGTGGAGTAGAGAGAGCTGGTTGGTGAGGGTGCTCAGAGGAGGTGTTGCTTGCTGCGGCTGTAGCTAGAAGGAGGTATCCACTACTCCCGTACACTATATTCATTCTCGAGTATGGTTACCAGAACTGAACTGCGTAATCCAAGTGAGGTCTCACAAGCTCAAGATATAGTTTTAGGATGACCTCGCTAGTCTTGTAATTAACGCTCATTCCTTTCAAAGCATTCTTATTTCCTTACTACCAGGTTGGTTGGGCACAACCACCCAACTATCTGGCGTTTCATCCAGTGGATCCAAGCTGAAAATGCTGTTGTATCATCTCACATTATCAAAGAATCTCGTAGTGAGCCACCCAGAAGCTCCAAAACTTGTTTACAAGAACCTCCAGAGTCCAGACAAGGCTGAAGACCCTCTGTCGCAAGTCAGTCCAAGAATTGTGCAAGGCGCTGGGTATAACAGTCGTTGGAAATCTTAACAATAATATGCAATGTGACAATTTTATTTGTTATTCATTTATGTACGAGTTTTCACTAACATACGGTAGAATGTTTCAGTTAAGGGTAATACAGTAAATGTTTTAAGTTATGACGTTGATATAACTTAATTAAGTTTCAGTAACAAACGTTATAAAATTTTAGCGAAAACATGTCAATAAAAGCAATGTGCCATTTTTTCTTAGTCTGATGATTATGCCTTTTTTCCGGTGCCATATTTCCTATTGCCATTTTTTTCTGTGCCATTTTTTATCTGTGCCATTTTTTATCTGTGCATTTTACTACATTCGTGGAGGGTACCTGATGTGGTGCTATAATATAATGGTGCAATCTGATGTGTTGGGTGTTATGGTAAGAAGGAATGACCGAGGTAAGGAGGTTGTTATGAAGAATGAAGATATTAATAGTAGTTATTTGATGGAGGTCGTGTACTGGTTTGAAGTGTAATGAACATAATACAGGAGTATATTTTGATGAAGGCCAACCAGTTTTGTCGTGTGACTGGATGCCGTATGTTTTGGTTAGAAATAAATTAGTTAAGTCAGGATTGGTGTTTAACACTTCCTCCCACTCGATTTGGTCAATGAAAACCAAACCCAGTGCCTGGCTTGCTCTGCAGCTACCTAAAACAAGCTTGTAGTGGAATCTCCCTACAAACGCTGTTTGTCGCTGCCTAGCCGACCCTACCACCCCCAGTGCCTCGTGGTCTAGGTCAACCAGCGCCGCCATACATCACGGAGCGGGGATCAACTGCTGCCACGCCTACCCCGCTATTTAAGACCTGACCTCGTGGTGATCTCTTTCTACCTACACCAACCAGCCAGCAACACCTCCTCGTCCACTGCTGCTGCTGCCTGGCAGCCCGCCCTCCTGCCCGCTGTCGGTCCTCTCCCGCTGGCGAGCATGGCGATCCACAAGCTGTCCTTCTCTGAGCGTCCTCGCCAACCAGCTCTCTCTACATCACGCTTGTAACCACGCTGCCTTCCCAGCACCAAGCTGCATTGTACATCCAATACAACATGTATATAGAGAGCACATTGTGAGTTTCCTTTCTCCATTCCATCCTGAGTGTGAACCAAACATCTCATACCCCACACAAGCTATACTGTAGTGAATTCTCCCCACAAACGCTGTTTGTCGCTGCCTAGCCGACCCCACCAATTCCAGTGTATGCCTGTGGTCTAGGTCAACCAGCGCCGCACATAGACCACGGAGCGGGGGTCAACTGCTAAGCCACGCCTACCCCGCTATTTAAGACCTGATCTCGTGGTGATCTCTTCTACCTACACCAACCAGCCAGCAACACCTCCTCCGCCTGCCTGGCGTCCTCGCTCCTCCGCCGCTGCTTGGCGGTCCTCTCCAGCTGGCGAGCATGGCAACCCACAAGCTGTCCTTCTCTGAGCGTCCTCACCAACCAGCTCTCTACATCACGCTTGTAACCATGCTGCCTTCCCAGCACCAAGCTGCATTGTACATCCAATACAACATGTATATAGAGAGCACATCGTGAGTTTCCTTTTCTCCATCCCATCCTGAATGTGAACCAAACATCTTGAACCCCACAAATGGTGACCCCCGGAGATCTTCGCACTCACACAGGATGGAGGAGAAACCGATCACTTCCCAGTCTTCAAGCAACATGGAAGACTGGCTTATCCACACAGAAGCAGCTCTCATCGGCTCTACAGCTACTGTCTCTACACCCAGGTTAGACACCCTAGAGCAGCTCTGTTTCTCCTAGCAGACACCAGCCTTTTCCTGCCCCAAGCACCACGTCCCTACCGACTCCCAGCACACCTGTCCCTGCCTCAGACGCCGACCCCGGCCCAGCAGTAACCCCTGCCGCCCTGATGCGGCCTCTGTTCCTGAGTGCGACCCACACACTCTCTTTTCTCCCTCAGGTACTCTGCTAATGTCCAGCACCCTGCTGCTGTCGTGGACCCAGCTACTGTCACGAGCCCTCATCCGCTTCTGCTGACGCAGCCCCGCTCCTGACCCAGGCCCACACACCCCAGCAGGCGCATCTGACGACTCTATACCTGCTCGTGAGGGAAGCACAACATTCATCGCCTCCACACACATTATTCTCCCTCTCTACCCCACAGATATTGTGTATCTGACAGTTGTCCCAGCGACCGCTCATCCACGCCATCGCCGCTGTCTCACATGAGGAAACGCACCGCCTGCTCTGCCTCACATGTGCTATGCAACCCCTGCAGACAACAAGTCTCCTACACCGCCTGGAGGGAAGATAGGTGTGGTTTCCCATTAAGCAGCCTGATCTCTTTGGGGGTATGTTGCCCTCCCGGGTCATTTGACCTGATCTTGGTGATTCTTCTACCTACACCAACCAGCCAGCAACACCTCCTCCGGGCCTGCCTGGCGGTCCGTTCTCCTTCCAGCTTGTGGTGGGTTGGTGTTTCTTTATTTATTCTGAGGTGAACCAACATCTTGAACCCCACAATACTGTCCAGGGGTCTGTGGCAGCGACCTTAAAATTAAGAGTAGTGTGGAAGTGAGATGTTTGGTTCACACTCAGGATGGAATGGAGAAAGGAAACTCACAGTGCTCTATATACATGTTGTATTGATGTACAATGCAGCTTGGTGCTGGGAAGGCAGCATGGTTACAAGCGTGATGTAGAGAGAGCTGGTTGGTGAGGACGCTCAGAGAGGACCAGCTTGGGTCGCCATGCTCGCCAGCGGAGAGAGGACCGCCAGGCAGGCGGAGGTGTTGCTGGCTGGTTGGTGTAGGTAGAAAGAGACAGATCACCACGAGGTCAGGTCTTAAATAGCGGGGGTAGGCGTGGCTTAGCAGTTGACCCCGCTCCGTGGGTGTATGGCGGCGCTGGTTGACCTAGACCACGAGGCATACACGGGGAATTGGTGGGTCGGCTAGGCAGCGACAAATAGTGTTTGTAGGGGAGAATTCCACTACAGTAGAGTTAAATTATCCTATCCCTCTTAGGATTAAAGTGACTCCAGAATGGGCAGTATAAGACAAATCTGTCCGAATGATTAATAAGATGATTAGTGGCAAAACATCATTAAAAATAAGTACGAAATGGTTACTGATGGTAGCAATCAATGTGAATATTAGAGTTGCCTTTTAAAAATATATAAACCATTTTCTCAAAAAAGACTATCTTCTATTAGTTTTGGTTGTTCAATAGATGCGCTTGAAGTCGGATCTAAAGAAAACATGAGAAGTGGAGCTTGCATATTCTTGGCATCATTATCCTCTCACCGATGCCGGAGTTTACAACAATTGAGGAGACGGCTGCCGTAATACATGTTATGAGATCAAGACATCACGGACATAAATTGGTATGATATGGGGAAGTCTAATGATTAGTTATAAGTCTTGTAGAAGTAGTGGGAGTGATTATTACAAGTGTTGTAGAATTAGCAGGGCGATTACTACAAATTGTTGAAATCCTGTCCCAGGACACACATGATAATATTTATTCAGCAAGCTTGTCATACAGGCTTGAAAATTGACAAGTATGTTTATAAGGCACTGTACACAGTAGGTGTGCAGTGTTTAGGGTTGTGGGAATATAAGTTCAGTATTGAAACAGTATAGGCTTCTGGGATACTGAATAGTATATACTTGTCACACTTGCTAGATGCTTCTTGTGGGCCATTGTACAGGGGCACCTAGTGACAGCACTAGGATCCTGCTTCCCATCAAGGAATAAAATAAATGAAATTGAAAATTGCCAGTATTTAGCCAGAAAACAGATCCAGAGGTTCCCAAGACATCCTGCCTCACCCCCCCTGACAATAAATAATAATAATAATTGGCGCTATGTAACTGTATATATATATATATATATATATATATATATATATATATATATATATATATATATATATATATATATATATATATATATATATATATATATAAACCAGTATCGGTGTACTGTATTGCATTGTGTTTTTAATGTAGGCTAATATACAACATACATGATATAGAAATCTTAAAAATAAAAATACCTTTGCTTAAGGCTGAATATCTTCATTTAGCTGCAGTCTTCTTCCCCCACTGTGTGTGTGTGACTTGATGTGCCCATGCATACTTTTCTGTAGATTGGATCTTTTTCAGTATTGGCTGATTGCTCTTTAGAAAGGTATAGAAGTCACTGCAAGATGTTTCTCGGAAGTTGTACTGTACAGTCAGAATGCCTTTCATTGTTTCAACACTCAATTTGTTCCTTTCCTTTGTCCATTGACTTTGCATCAGTGAAAAAACTCTTTCTACATTTGCATTGTGAGATGATATAGCAAAGAAGAATTGTGCAATTCTGAGTGGCATTCAATGTTATTTGATTTTTCAAAGTATCTGGTCCACCTTTTATGTGTTGGTAGAATTTTTCCCCTGACACTGTCACCCTGTCTGATCCCCGAGATATGCTAGGGACTGTCAGTTGATTGAAAATGTCGAAAGGAGGGACACCAGACTGGTGCCTGCACTATGGGACCTCAGCTACCCTGAGAGATTAGGGCGGCTGCAATTTCCTAGCTTATGCTACATACGAACAAGGGAAGACCTAATTGAGGTGTATAAGCATCTCAAAGGGCACTACTCCGCCGAGTGCCCTTACCTGGAGCTGCCGGATGCCCGCCCCACAAGGAGTCACAGCTCAAGGTAGAAGAATACTCAGGCCCAGAAAACTGAGAGGGGTAATTTTTTCGGAGTGAGAGTTGTGAACTCTTGGAACAATCTAACAGAGTGTTGTGATGGCACTGAGTGTGAGCTCTTTCAAGACCAGACTTCACAAGCACTGGAGCAGATTCAGATAGATTTAGGAGCCAGTGCATGCCCAGTATTTGCCAACACTGCGTAACAGAGATGTGACCAATCGCCCAAGTGACTAACGAGCTAATCAGTGGTGAAGAGGATAAAAGTAAAAGTGTAGAACAACCAAAGAATCTGATAAAGAAAATGTGTTACCTAACATA